TGTATCATTGAACATCTCATAAACGCCAGTGGATGAATGACATTTCGATTAACATAAAGCTAAAAAGATTTATAATTATTATTATCAATCTTTTTTATTAATTTACATTTTTTAAAGGTTATTGTAATACTTTTAAATTCAGTGTTACTAAATACCTATATTTTAACATTGGATACACTTGTTTAAGGTACAACTTTACAATTTATTGTCACTTAGCCATTTAAATCTTTTTGCTTAAAATGTATATGCATGTCCAGATTTTAATAATGTTTCACATTTTACGTCATTTTGACCATGTACACGATTGTTTGGTACGGGCCGGTATCTATTTTTAACTATATTTAATATTTAAAAAAATACCCTTCATTATTTACTTGCAATGTTTACCCCATTTAATTCTAAAATTAAACACTAGAGAGGGCTAAGTTCGGCAGTAGTGCTGCCTCTATATTTCACGCACGGTCCCTATACAACAAAAAACCTATATTAGTGCTAGGGGTTGAAAAAAAACTGTCTTTATTTAAAAGAAAATATTCGTTTCTAAACAATACTACTTTTGTATTTATACTTCTAATTCTATTTTTTTCTAGAAATATCCAACTTTTTTGTGGTCTCATAATAAATGCAAATATTGAAATAATGTTTTAATATCAGATTTGTCAGATCTAGTGCGTGATTTTCAAAAATATCGCCATCAAAAATGTAATCTCCAAAAAAATTTAATATGTTAGATTCTAAGGTTTTTACAGAATTTAAAATTAATATATCCATAACCCTCAAAATATGCTCCGAGCATAACACTCTTTTTCGGATACCTTCATTTTCCTTAAGTCTTACAAGTGATAGCCAAATATTTCTTGTATCCTCTCAGTTGGGAAATCTAACAAGCAAGCTTAAGCATATTTATTTTACTACAGGATTTCCATTAATAACAATTTTTTTGCGAAATGAATAACGTTGAAATATCATAGGAAATAAATAATAGTAAAACAAAGGTAGATAGATTTATGCTGTGTTTGAATACATCGGATGCCTCTGAGTTGTTGTAAATCTTTGATCACGTTATTCAATTTACGTAAATGTAGTAGGACAGATGTGTCCGATGTGAATAAACAAACGCTCGATCATCACCTAACCTTACTTATGAAAAGATACTTCATCACTCATATTATCCAGTTTTTTGCACAAAATGCATTTGCTAACCATGTTGTTAGCTATACACTAAAACTATAAACCGAAATATTTCCAAAAAAGTATAAAAATCAACAAAACTCCCAATATGGAACAATTTACTCCAAGGCAACGTCGCACACTATCTTTTCGATAAAACACTATAAGTTAGGTATTTACGCGTTTTTTCCTTAATTTATATTAATTATTTTATGTTGATATTTATTATAAGTAATTGGATGCTAGTGACCCTTAATCTTTTGATCAAAAAGTTTAATTTATTTGAAGCCAAAATCGGAAATTTTTTGCTCTTCGGTGTTCCGCTTTACCAGAAGAAAACCTGACAGAACCCAGACATACCACCCAGTGAGTCTCCTTACAATATTGGCCTCTTCAGGATTTTTTCCGTTATTTGAATTTAATAATTTAAACGCCCGCCTAATGAGTTAAGGTTCCCTTGCATCCCAGAACTGAGCTATATTAAAGGGAAAAGTCACGTATTCGCGATTCAAGCTAAGTGATACGCCTTCTGGAGGAAATTTGTAGACGGTGCCTATAAGTAGGATATTGTGTTGCCAGGTGTAGCGAAATTTCTCTACGCCCTTGAATTTTTAACTCTTGAAAAAGTGGATAAGACCTTTTTTTTAAGTATCAAAATTTTTGTCTAGTAATATGTAATCATACTCTATATTTATTTAAGGATTTTTTTATAAAACCGATTTATTATATTGATTTTTTTTTTAAAATTTCAGTTCATTTATTAATTTTATTTTAAAATCAGTTCATCTTTTGGTAACATTGGCGCTCCTGTTCACTGTTTATATTTTAATTTGTATCAATTATAATTCGAAGTTTTTCTTACTTGTGAGCTTTAAATTTGTTTATTTCTTAGTGTGTTTATATTAAAAATAAAATTTGCGAAAAAGCTCCCAATTAATTGCAATCTATATGGTGTTAATGTCAAAATCAAAACTGAAGTGTTCATTATTTTTCAAGCGTAAGTCGTAAAATTTTGTTTCTTATGATAAATGGATATCTACAAATTCACATTATTGAGATTTTGTAAAATTTTGTTTAGAATCAAACTGCAATCGGATTTGTGACGGTTTTATTACCATTTACATGTATACAAAGTACTACACAATCACTTCATAATATAAGAATAAGGATAGTGAGATTTTCAAATAAGTTCATCAATAATTAACGTTTATTAGCTGAAATGTCCTTTAAACCACTTAACAAAACATGTCATGGGTTTAGTAAATAAATATTTCTGGATGTTCGTGTAGCAACCACCGACCTTAGTATTAAACTGGATGGCTATATGACATAAACCCTACTCCTAATTTCTAAGCCGACATGGGTGAAAAAAACGGTCGGTGCGCATGACAATTTGGACGCCAGACTGTCAATTTCGAGCATTCTACGTCACGTTTCCTACGAGCGTACTACTTATTAATAACGCGCTATTTTAATAATTATTATTATTGGAACATTTGTTTCAGCTGCGTATTGATCAAAAATCATTTTTAAATAATTTTCTTAAATTAAAAGGTGTCATAGTTGAATGTAATAAGTGTTAAATTTAATTTTGATGATCCCTTTTTGTGTATTTCGATACGCGAATGTGGGCGCCAAAGGGTCAAATATCGCCTCGCTATGCGGCTTGATTTTGTTGATCGGCTTTGTTCTTCCAGTTTAATATATAGTTCAGTGGTAGCAACCAATAGGTAAATATTTCCAACAAATTAAGTCCTAAACACATGATAAATATTATATTTATGACGAAAGCACGAAAACTAAACTTAAATTAACACTAAATGAAACTCAAAAACACTATTTATAATGAGAATATCTAAAAACAGTCAAAAAATAACAAATACAAAATTCCTACTTATAGGTGACAATGACAGGTGCGTGAAAATTAATTTGAATCGCGAATAGTAGAATGAAACAAGGTAATAGACCTTTTCATCACAATTTTTTTTTGTGCGCATGCGTCAGTTTCAGCCATCTTTTTCGTACTGTTTTTGTAAACAAGTATGTTAAAATGCTTACGTGAAAAAAATTATAATTGATAAATATTAATTTAAGTCTATATTCATTTAAAAAAAGGAAGAAAAACGTAAAGTAATAATAAGTTTAGTGTCTTAATTGAAAAATACATTTTCACAATCAATTATAATTATGTTATCTGTACGGAAAGGAATAACGAAACAGTGTTGTTATGTAAAAGTGACACACGGTATAAATCATTCAAAGGCAATAGATATTATTTTATAAATTTTCCAAAGCCTTAACTGCAATATCGTAAACAATTATCAGGCAAAATCCATATTAAAAGATATTCGAAATGTGCATTAAGTGTGAAAAAATATGGTCGAAGTGACGACGGTTTTCGATGGATTAATGATGTTACTAAAGATACTTATATTTCACTGCATTTTCATGGAGAAAGTGGTCCAACAGAAGAAAATTCTCATGTGGTATTAAACAATATTTTTTTAATATTAAATACTACTTCGGTATACACATTAAATGATTAAAAATGTCATGTTGATCCTCAAAATAATAAATAATTTATTTTATTAATTATACTCGTGATTAACTTTCATGCTAATTAAAGTGTTTTTGCAAGTAGTAATAGTTGGTTGGCATAATTAATTAGAATAAAGTTATAATTATTATTTGTTTTCATTAATTTTTTACAGAGTTAAAAAGTATTGATACACCTAACCTCTCAATTAGTCCACTTTGTTCCTTTGTAACAAACATCCAAGACACTTCAACCTCCTTTTCAACTGCTCACAACTATGCGCTTCAACAGAGTTATAAAAAAGTTATTCACTATCAACGATTTTTTCTAATGATTAATTTTTCTGTAGAGATAACATTGCTTTCCCAGCCATTGTCGATCAAAACAGTACGAAACTTTTGAATTACCGCTATTTCAACATGGTGGCTGCACTTGCGCTCATCACATGATGAAAAGGTCTATTTTCAATTGCGATGTCGTCACGTTTAACGCTTTTAAAATCTATGCATTTATTTGTAGGCCTATTAATGGTGTTTGCCATAGTTTAACTTAGTATTTGTAAAGTTCTTATTTAGCAGGCGTATGTATGTAAAAACGATAGGTACAAAAATGCCCTGCATAATGGTCTAAAAATAGGTGCTGCTAAAATATAAAGTCTGCTGAAAGCAGTTAAAATAGCTTAAAGTAGTTTGTACACATTTTATACGTTTTTTGTTTTGTTAAAAGTCATTTTATTTAGAAACTTACTATTAGAAATGTTTCGGGAAATATTGCAACAATTCTGCCCACAATGCGTCGGAGTGGGAAACACTTCAATAGGTACGAAAATGAATTGGTGGGAACGCTTGATGTGTCGCAATATATCTCGAAACTATTCTAGTTAATAAAACTTGTTGCTATTAGTGAGTTATAAGTAAAAACTATTTTTAAATATGAAAGGGATAAACTACACAGCCTGGCAACAGCGCACCAGGCAACACATGTCGGTTCGTTTACGAAATAGCTGCGCGCTACGTTTGTTTGCAATCTATGACCGGGTTTAAAGGTAAATTGAGGAGCATTGATCATATACATATTTTTAAGTTAAAGTCTGTATGGAAAGATATTTAGAAAATTATGTATTTATGAAATTCACTTTGTCACACCCTGTAGAATGAAAACTGGGACGTTTGTAAGAAAATTATACTTAGCTTTTGAAAAATGAGTTAAGATCTACAAATCCCCCAGTTTATGTTACTTTATTCTGAAACACCCTGTATATTTTTATAACGTTAATTTAAAATTGAACTTTTAGGATAATAACAGTGGCATGTATGCCACCTCCTGTCTCAAGTGCTGTAATTTTGACAAGGGCTGCACAAGGAAATGAGACAGCAGCAATTTTTAATTCAGTACTAGGTAGTTTTTTGGGAATCCTACTTACACCACTATTATTATTATTTCATGTAAGTTTTCTTTAAAATTGTTCTATCAAATAAATATCACTTGCATTTTATCCATTTCAAATAATAATGTTGAATTCCTATTAAAATTGTGGAATGCTTTTCCTTCTTTCTTTACTCCATAAACCGTTAGGTTAATTGCAGACAGTGAAAAAATTTCAAGAATGTGTAATGGAATGGCAATATTTCCAGTGGCGGAGAATTTTAATGTTTTACATAGGTATACTATAAATATAAATTTTAATTTAATATGCACTACAAATTGAATCAGGAAGGTTAGCACGGATGTTAGATGTATATTGTTTTAAGTAGATCTCTAGTCTAGTTAATTATATATACCGCATCTCAAATTTAAATATTATAATTTACCTCTAAGACAAATTATGTATTACAGTGTTAAAAAACAATGATTATGTATTTTAAACATTTTATTTGCATAATAGTTATATAGAAAGAAATTCTTTTAATATATGGCAGCACTATTACATATTCCTGAAATTGTCTACAATTAACATAGGTCTAAATTTATAAACCGCCTTCTATTGAGTATGACCTTGAACAAAAATCAAATTTTCAGCATATCACTGGAGATATTTAATGGAAGTAACAAATTCGTAAATGTACTGCACATTTACGGATTTGTTATTGTCCATTTCTAAATTCCAGTGCAATGCTGGAACCACCTGGAACTCTATAGATGCTAGAATTGAACTGCGATTTTCATTCAAGGATGTGCACAGTTTATAAACATCCACATAAGAGTTTTAAGTCATATAAAATATATTTTTCTAATTTTGACATGTAAAGTGACATTTTTCGTAGTCGTAGCAAGTATAAAAATGATCTATTTTATGCAACTAGTTGCATTATGAAACTGGTTACGAAAAATTCATTATGTCACCAGTTGCAAAAAGAAAACAAATAAAAATAAACCTTTCTTGGTTTTTAAATCATAATATACATTATTATTGAAAGTTTATATCAAAGAAAAGACGGTTGACTATATAAAAATAATGGTTAGTGAACTTACAACCTACTAATAATGTTGTTTCGGTTCTGATTTTCGATTCTAAATCAGCACAAAGTAATCAAAACACAATACACGACAAAATAATCTACTTTCTTGAAAACGAAATAACTTTAACCAGCAATATAAACACACTACAACAAGTCGTTGAGAATAAATTAATATGATTTTCTATTTGACAATAAAATGAATGAAGTTATGCAAATGCAACTAACAGTAGCAGAAAGTAGGTAAAATTGGTTGCATAGGTGGTAGTAATTTTTTATCAAAACATACTTTTATAAATAATTAGTCAAAATTAGAAAATATATTGTATGTAACACATTTTCGTTTTGTGTAACTCGTTCATAATGCGGGATCTCGTTCTACTCGTCCTGCAAATATTAACTTGTTACATAAAATAAGGTATTTCGTAACTGGTTGCATAAACAACTATTTAAATAATTATATATTCTGCAGTTAGGTTCAACGACTATAGTACCTCTTTTGGACACTGTTTTTCAATTGACAACTACGGTGGTGTTACCACTTTTGATTGGACAAAGCTTGAAGAGCTACAGCAGCATTAGGTTCCATTTGATGCCTTTGAACACAATAAGCCAAAGTGCGCTTTTGTTTGTTATATATACAACATTTTGTGATACATTCCTGGTTCCAGAGACAGGTCTATCTGCTGTAGATGTACTTTTTACAGTTTTCTCAGGTATACAATTAAGAAATTTTATTGAAATTTAAGTTTTAAGTTGCAGTGGACCAATTTAAAAGGCAGTATATTTTTTTTTCACTGTTTTTTAGTGTTGCTTATGCAAATAATTCTAATGCTGGCTAGCTTTAACTTGGCTAATAAATTCAGGAAGTATTTCACTTCACAAGATATTATAGCGATTGTATTTTGTTCAACTCACAAGTCACTTACATTAGGTGAGTAGCCATTTATTTTAATTTTCAGTACTTACATTAAAAACCTAAATTATGTTACATAACATGGGTTCAAATATAATTTTTTTTTCGAGAAAAACGATCTAGGATTGTTCAATATAGCTGGCAATGTCGCGAATAGTTCAGTTTCAACGATCTTACCAAATGGACTTTGATCTTATATTAGGAAAGAGGGGATGTGCAACCCGTTTGGCACCAGTTGTTAAACGCATACATAAAATATTTCTCTCTCTGTCTAAGATTTAGAGCCTTAATAAAATGAACGATGTCTAGGTTTTAATACCTAACCCAAACACAATTTGTTATTTCAGAGGAAATCTAAAACAGACAATTAGTAAAGAAATTCTGTAAAATAAATAAACCCCATTTTATAATAATTATTATAATTAAAATTAATTATTGTGTGTAACGCCACTTTGCCACTAATCTTTACTGGATTATTGAAGGCCATTGCGATAATATGGAGTGTTTCTAAAGTAAGCCTGGAAAAAATTCACATATATTATCGGAGCGTATAATTCATCTTCTTTTTAAGTGTTAATTTGAATTTACTCGTATCGTCTTTATCGGTCTTGACCTAGTTACTTTAGAAACATTTTTGGTGGATCATGCTTTAATATGAGGAATTTTTCAAGTTTTATTGAAAGAAAATATACTAAAAATTTTGATAAATTATTCTTTAGATTATATTACTAACAAACGGTATGATTCATTTGAAATATTAACCAGTTTAAAGAATATTTCTAGTTTTGGAGTTGTTATTTTCTTGTCTAATCTATTGAAATGTAATTCCTTCTTTTTTCCCTTCCGATTTTACAACCATAACTCGCTACCATTGTAATTACTTAATAATAATATTGTTTCATAAATTAAATTTTCGTACAGAAGCTCAAAATACAAAAACGATACCATGGCTTCTCAGGCACCAAAAAATGGCGGTCTAAACTTCGGTCTGAAATGAGTTACGCGTACCCTCTCTTTCCTAGTCCGCTTGTAATTTTTTCTATAAAAAAATAAGTAACTAGGACAACGGCTGTGTCAATGCTGTCATCTGTTATATTATAATTAAACATAAGGGGGTCATGAGGGGAAAGGATCCTAATACTGCGCCCCTTGCGAAGTCTATGACAAGGCCACTAGATTTTACGATCGTTTATTTATAAGAATATTTAGTTCAAGTTGATTTCCTCCTGTTAGCGTTCGTAAGAACCCCAATTTTTATTTCCTAAAAAAAATCCGATTTTTAAACGTTTGCCTCCATAGTTCAAAAATATACTATTCCCTAGACAGCACACCAAATCCTTTGGATATCTACTGGACATCCCAATATCCACTGAATGTCCAGTCCATGGTGAATATCTATTTTATATCCATGAGATGTAATTTATGGACATGCAAATGTCCATAAATAATAGTAATTATATAACAAATTATTACGCCATTGCATTGTGGCTAATAGTACCGCTTAGATATTTAAAATTAAATTAAATCCCATAGATATCCACTAAATATATCAAAGTATAGGCGCGAACGCAAACCATGGTGGATACCACTAGATGTAATTTATGGATATAATATGTAGGTACCTAAATATCGGAAAATATGTTAATTGATTTAATAATTATTAAATTACTTAAATATTACACCATGTAATAACTAAGAAAGTATGTAGGTATATGGTTTATAGAAATTTAAAATTAGTAAATTGTATTCAATATCCCACAGATATCCGCTAGATAAATACTGGCAATGAACGCGAGCGCAGGCGCGGATATTTTCTGCCCTCACAGGTGCTATCGGCCATTTTATAGTTTGTTTTATTTGTGTAGTGTGCATGAGTTTCATTTGATAATTTTGGATTTAAAGGAGGTAAGTAAGCTTTAAAACCTAATTTATTAGTGTAAAACGTTGATAGACTTTAGTTAAATAAGACAATGGTTAAATTCACGTTATTAAGAGTTAAGTAGGTTGTGTGCAATGTACGTTAAAATCCGTGTCCTTTTTAGGTAATTCACAACTAGACATTCATGTCGTTTTTACGATACCCTATTTTATTATAATTAAGATAGATGTTATTTGATTTACCTTCATATACCTACTTATTTCCTGTGATTATTATTGTTGGTGATTCGGTTTGGTTTTTATTGTTTAATGGTTGTTATAATTAATTAGAAAGAGGTATTTTTTCACTGGTTAAGGTAATCTTATTACATCTGCCTTGTATTCAATAGCATGCATGAAGAATTTAACAAGTAAGGTTAGGTTATGTTGAGTTGGACCAACAGTTTAGATAAATAAGTATAATATATACACAGATCCAGCCCTTTTAAATTATTAGTTAGTATTATATATTGTATAAGTGACACTCTGCACAATAGCTTGATTTAAAATATAGTTTCACTTTTTGAGGAATTTTACAACAGAGCGTCTTTTTTTTTTTTTCAGGAAGAAAATTCCAGTTGAAATTGTGGCGCCAATATGTGTGTGTATGTGTGATTAGGTTTAGATTTTCCTTGGTTGCGGGTACTATGTTCATTCGTCAGCTTAAATGTAATATGTTATTTAATATAATAGTATGTTTATACTATAGTTTACTTTTTTAAAATATATTTAGCTTGCTCATAACATTTTTTGTCTTTGTTTTACCTAACTATACTTAATATAACAACAATAAGAATAAGATTTATATGTTAGATAATTTGTGCGTTGTATTCAGTTTAAAACCTACTTCACATATTCAATGATATTTTGGTGGTTTTTTGGGTATGGTGTACAATATTTAATTGTAAAAATAAAATGTTGATACTCTTTCTACTCTACATGCTATACCTATGCTATGTAGCGTCAAAAATAGTTAATACTAGAATAGTAAACCTTGTATGGGTGTATATACCAAATTAAAAATTCAGGGCGTTCCCATGTTATGCTACTGAAATGCTGATTTTCTTCATATGGAATGTTTTTAGATTATGCAGAACATTCTTCCACTTATCTTTCAAAAAAAATTTAATGAAGCATTAAATATGACACCTTATATGTATAATTTTTGATATATTAAATATATCAAATAATGGATGTACACTGGATATGTTAAACATCTATAGCAGCCATACTCAACTTGCGGCCCGCAGGCTGCTAGCGGCAGTCCAAGCTTCTTTTGCGGCCGAAACATCATTATTAAGAAGGTGTTTTTTAAAATTATTGGTTTGTTTTTAAAATCTTGAGCGGAACTAGCGAAAACATTTATCGGTCGCTGTGATAAATATCATGCTAATTTTTAAATAAACGTTTGGATCATGAAGTTACTGCAAAAACAAAATATCTCCACTTTCGACATTTTCGAGTTAAGTACACTTTCATCTCCAAAATAGTTCAAATAATATACGGCTTAAACAAGACAAGTGTGAACGAAGTCTATATTCATGATAAACAGATGGTCAACAAAAACTAACTCCATATTAATACATTAATATATATGTATAAAGAAGGAGCATTTATACTGAAATATAATCGCAACATTGTGTTCAATTGCTAATAGTGTGTCTACCAAAACCAGATAAGATACATGCAACTTATTTTTGCTAAATGTGTTTAGTCCGATTCCTAAAAGTGTTTCTGTCAAAACAAGATAAAGGCCAGAATACTTATTTTTATAAAAGTATTTGTTGAAATACTTCAACATTTTGCCCAAGCCATTTGTTTTGCCTAGAGCCGTCTCTGGCCTCTTTTGATTGGTCCGAAATCGACAAGATGATTACGTCACCCTTTCTTTTCACGATACAGCTAACCTTCAAAAATCAATTGATGATAACACATGATGCCCGAATAGCCATGGTAAATGATTGATTGATTAAGCTGTAAAGAGTGATTAGTCAAGCCGAACGAGTGGGGATGCTAAGACTCGTCTCCATATTGTTTTCAAGTTAAAACGACCAAAAGCCCTTCTCAAATCACCGAAACACCCGCTTTTCACATTGCTTGAAAAACCCACGCCATACCGGCAAAGGGATGCCTAAAAGGGTGAAAAAAAGCTCTGAAAAAAAGTGCCAAATAATGTAATGCCAAAAAAAAAATATTTACTACACCTGATGAATTTCACCATTAATATAAAAATCTACTTGTATCCAATAACCTTTCACAGAAGCTAGTGACACAGACATTGAATATTATGACTTGCACAGTGCACATGGAATCTTGTGTGCGAAGATACGTATCGAATAGACAGATTTTGTAGGCAGCTAAAATAAATTGTGACGTTTTACTCTTTTTTTTTGTCCCAATCGATAGATTCTTAATTAATATTTATAACGACTTGTTTTAAATTCCTTCATTGGAGTTATTGTTTATTAAACAGTGGTTTTACTGATTTTTTATTTCATTTTAAACTTTTGAAGAGCGTTTTCTCGAAAATGTGAGTTATCTTGTTTTTGCAGTAACCCTACGGGATATATTTATGTTTTGTGATTTTTTTTTATTAGAGGTTACCACTAATAAATTTTAAATAAAGGGTCATCATCCAGAGATATTGCGGCCCGCGTAACATAGCAAACATACGTATGTGGCCCGAAGGAAAAAAAGGTTGAGTATGGCGGCTGATCTATAGGATAAGCATTTCTTACTTATGAACCTCTACTAAAGATACCCATTAGATATTTTGCTGGATATCCATAGAATATCTTCTATATCCTGGATATAGACGGACATTTGGATATCCATATTAGATCCACTGGATATCTGTAATATCCTGTGGATATATTGGATATCCACAAAAGATATTATGTAGATATCTCTGGGATTTTATGTGTTGTCTGGGATCTTTACAGAAATTTTAATCAAGCTTTAAAATGCCCAAATTCATGTAAATTATCTTGGCATATGTCAAAAGGACGTTTTTTGTTCTCTAAACAAGTAAACATTGATCTTGAGATGGTACTTCCCACTCCAAACCACTCGGAAATATTGCCGTCGTATTGGTTATACTGCTAACTAACCTTGAGGTTTTTGCCGTCTATTTGGAATACCGTGGGTATATCGGTATTTATTATTTTTTTTTTATTTCGTTCCGCTGATTGTAATTTTGTACATTTTTCCGTTGTGCTAGTTGCACTGCTAACTAATTTTGAGGTTTTCACCGTTTATTTGGAATACCGTGGGTATATCCATTTTCATTGATTTGTTTTTATTTTATTTTATTCAGCTGATGCTAAATAAATAGACATTTGGCTGCGTATTATTTCATGGGTAGTCGAAGTGTTGACCGTGATTTTCGTTATAAATACTTTATTTATATATTGTGATTAATGGTAAATTTTTAATCCCTAGGGAGTAAATGCCATTTTAGTACCTAAAAAATGACATATTTTTGCGTGTAGAGCTATAGAACCATAAATATTTACTAATTTGTAATGATAGGATTTTTTTACTCTTTTTGGTTACCTAATAATTTTTTATGTCGCTGAAAATCGATAGTTATAATATATACTTTTTTTGTAGGAATTCCAATTCTTCGAATAATGTTTCATGGCTATTCGCATTTAAGTCAAATAAGCTTACCATTGTTAGTTTACCACCCAACTCAGATCATTTTGGGTGGACTAGTTGTACCTCAAATCAAGGATTGGATGCATTCACAACGAGTTAAAAGGCCACCAGTTTGAAAATGTTAGGTGTATATTTTTAATATACAGTATTGGCTACTGAAAACTTTCCAATACGGTTTGTTAGTGTCGAAGCGAAAACTACAGAGACCTCGCATTAGTTCGAGAAGGAAACAAATAATACCAATGTTGCCAACGGCCAGGCTGCGTGTGTATTGTTGGGATATCTGTCGTTGTATGTCTATTCGCAATTCACACACGAGGTGGTCCATAGTCACGATACATATATCGTGCTCCGATAATTATCCCCACGAAGCCAGGCTGACGTTTACTAGCAACGTTGTTATTTTAGTTTCCTGCTTGCAATAATGCATGAATGAATTTAAAGAAATACAATTTTAATTTTTTGTCTGATATTATGTTTCTCCCTGTAGATATCAAAGGTTTTTAACCAACTTTCAATCTGTTACTGTTTAAGAAATATCAATACTCTGTACCTATGAAATAGTAGGGACCCCGTATATATAAAAAGTTATTTGTTTTGTGTTACCAATGATGGAATAAACAGTGTATTTTTTAGTTAGTGTTTAATTTACATGCAACGAATTTCCCTTCCAAAGCTGAATTACAGTTTATCTGTCCAGGGTAAACCTGAAGAATTTCTGAGTGTAGCAAATCAAAGTTTGTCCTCAGATATGCGCTAAATATTAATGATTATTCTGATTCTATTAGTCTACTTACGTGATATTGTAATAAGTAGTGGTAAGGATGTGATTCCTTACCATTAATGGTCTGTTTATGTCTATTTCTTGCTAGTCCTAAAAAGGACGAAATCATTCCAAGAATGACGTTCTGCTTAGTAAGCAAATTCAACGCCAAACATTACTTACCTTTAATCAAATTAAAAAAAGAAATGAGCACATTGACCATATAGTTTTCTCAGTCGTGAATTCGTCTTTTCTAATAGACACTTTTGGGGAAAATAGTTTTTTGGGAGAGAGGGCGCCAATAATTTTATTTTTTAGAAAGCTAATGAGAATTATGAACTCTAGCTTTATCAAAAGGAAATAAATTAAAACTTATATATAATTTAGGTAAAAGAGAATTGTTATAACCTTTAAAAAATAAGATTCAAATGAATTAGTTTATTCAAGTAATTGTATGAAAATTCAATGAACATAAAGATATTGAGTTTAACTACTAACTATTTAAATTTATATCTCGAACATTAGAGAAAAAAATAGCCACATGTCTAGTTACCACTATATTGGTTTGGGTGGCAACTTCAATAGGATACAGTCTTACTGTAATTCAGCTTCTCGAGCCCGAACACCAAATCTCATTCTTTCTCCCATAGTTCTGCTTTCAGAAAACTGCTATATTTATCTCCAATGTCAAAACATGCAACATATAGACTGGCTTTGAAGTTTAAGTAGAAATGCTAACTGCTTCTATTCGCTTTCTAAACAAAAAATAAATTCTGTTTTTACGAGGCTCTTGTATGAGATAAATTAACTTTTAAACAACTACTTTTTAATAATACAATGTCTGTTGCGGTATTAGTCAAAGAAGAAGTTTTCAGGCGGAAAACCATCCCTCTACGTACGGTCTTTGAGTTATTGTTTTGTTTATTTGTTTTTAATAAAAGATTTGGTCATTATAATAAAGCAAAAATCTGATGTGTCCAACACATGACTTTCCTATCTAGTTATTACAGGTTTTTTCTGGTTATTTTGTACAACCTATTGTTAAGAGTGAGATTATGGGTCCTTTTGACTGGCCCTAAAGTCCACTCTTAGCGGTAACCACGGGTTATATATAGGGGCCCAATTCGTATTAAAATTGGCCTCTAGATAACACACGGCTAGGGGGTTAAGTTCAGACGGGAAGACCTAAGGAACCCTAACTTGAAAGATTGAAACAACAAGCGTAAAACAAATAACTATGGTTTATTTAACAAATATATAAATATAGCACTTCAATAATCTTTGCTAACTACACAATTAAATATTACTCCTTAAAAGTATCTACTTACATTAACATTGTTATCCGTTGGGCAGCAGGACTGGCTAAAGGCACACGTTACTTTTTCCACTACGTGGTTTTACACAAAATAAAACTAACCGCGATTTCGCGTGACCGACCCGAAATTTACTTAGTGCCAAAAACTGGACACGACCGATCGCCAACAAAAACCCAAAGGAACTCCCAGAAAATTCACTTGTAATTTTCCAAGAATGCTCGTGTTGATCTTTCTTGACCCTGTACTTTAATAATATGATTTAATAAAACCTTGTCCAACTACACGTTTTGTTATTTTATTGCAAATGTATTTAATGTGCATGCCCTTGGACAAAATTTACAAATCATAACATACCTATTCACAGGGTGTTCTATTTATTCGTAACACTATTGTAACAACTCTGTAAATGTTTAGAGGATAAAGTAAACATTTTTTTTTATATATATTCATTCCCAACGAAAATACTCAAAAATTAAAATTTTACACTGTTCCTTCAATTTTTTAGTTCACCGATTTTCTTAAAAATCAGAATTTTGCACATTTTGCCAAATTTTACGATTACGGACCATTTTAGGAAAATTTTGTATGAAACAAAAATTATAGAGAATAATATACGAAGCAACTTTTATTTGAAGAATGTTCTTCTCCATACGTAAATAACAGATATATTCCATAAAACACACACAGACACACAGACACACAGACACACAGACACACAGACACACAGACACACAGACACACAGACACACAGACACACAGACACACAGACACACAGACACACAGACACACAGACACACAGACACACACAGACACACACAGACACACACAGACACACACAGACACACACAGACACACACAGACACACACAGACACACACAGACACACACAGACACACACAGACACACACAGACACACACACACACACACACACACACACACACACACACACACACACACACACACACACACACACACACACACACACACACACACACACACACACACACACACACACACACACACACACACACACACACACACACACACACACACACACACACACACACACACACACACACACACACACACACACACACACACACACACACACACACACACACACACACACACACACACACACACACACACACACACACACACACACACACACACACACACACACACACACACACACACACACACACACACACACACACACACACACACACACACACACACACACACACACACACACACACACACACACACACACACACACACACACACACACACACACACACACACACACACACACACACACACACACACACACACACACACACACACACACACACACACACACACACACACACACACACACACACACACACACACACACACACACACACACACACACACACACACACACACACACACACACACACACACACACACACACACACACACACACACACACACACACACACACACACACACACACACACACACACACACACACACACACACACACACACACACACACACACACACACACACACACACACACACACACACACACACACACACACACACACACACACACACACACACACACACACACACACACACACACACACACACACACACACACACACACACACACACACACACACACACACACACACACACACACACACACACACACACACACACACACACACACACACACACACACACACACACACACACACACACACACACACACACACACACACACACACACACACACACACACACACACACACACACACACACACACACACACACACACACACACACACACACACACACACACACACACACACACACACACACACACACACACACACACACACACACACACACACACACACACACACACACACACACACACACACACACACACACACACACACACACACACACACACACACACACACACACACACACACACACACACACACACACACACACACACACACACACACACACACACACACACACACACACACACACACACACACACACACACACACACACACACACACACACACACACACACACACACACACACACACACACACACACACACACACACACACACACACACACACACACACACACACACACACACACACACACACACACACACACACACACACACACACACACACACACACACACACACACACACACACACACACACACACACACACACACACACACACACACACACACACACACACACACACACACACACACACACACACACACACACACACACACACACACACACACACACACACACACACACACACACACACACACACACACACACACACACACACACACACACACACACACACACACACACACACACACACACACACACACACACACACACACACACACACACACACACACACACACACACACACACACACACACACACACACACACACACACACACACACACACACACACACACACACACACACACACACACACACACACACACACACACACACACACACACACACACACACACACACACACACACACACACACACACACACACACACACACACACACACACACACACACACACACACACACACACACACACACACACACACACACACACACACACACACACACACACACACACACACACACACACACACACACACACAGAAAGAGAGAAATGAATACCCGAGCACAGTTATTGGAAAAAATTAATAATGTATGCAACAACATTAGAAATAAACCGGAAATAATTGACAAATCAGTGAAAAACCTGTTAAAACGTTCGTAGAGGTGTATTGACGTTCACGCTGTTCATTTTGAAAATTTACTTTAGTTTAAATTAATTATTTGTTTCTGTTAGTTTGTTGTTACTTTATCAAATAAAATGGGCCCGGTCCTGTATAGATGTTCAATTAGAGAAAATGCAGTAGTTAAAAATAAATAAAGATGTGTAATGAAGTCAATTTTCATTATTATTATTATTATTAATTCCGGGTATTAATTTCGATTTTCAATTAATTTCAACTTCGTGGATATGCCCTGTATATCATCAGTTTTATCGCTGTTCAAACCATCGTCGAGGTACTGTGCCTGC